GGGGGGGGGGGGGGGGGGGTTCAGTCTGTCAGTCACGGCTGCAAGGTCAAGATTGGGGGGAGTCTGTCAGTCACGGCTGCAAATTCATGGTCGGGGGGTGGAGGGGGGGACAGTCTGTCAGTCACGGCTGCAAGGGCAAAGATTGAGGGGGGGAGGGGGTACAGTCTGTCATTCACTGACAGGAGACTCCTTCCCAGGTGGGAGGGGGGGTGTATAATTTTTTTTAAAATTTAAATTTTTTCAAAAGCACTGGTCCTCGTTGTATGGTCAACCAAATCCTACCCCGGGGTGTGTCGGTCCTCGTTGTATGGTCAACCAAATCCTACCCCGGGGTGTGTCCCACTGAAAATGTTTGAGAAGCTCTGATAATATTTTTTTTTCAACTGATTTACGAGGAGATGGAAAGTTGTCTGAGCCATGTCTTCGGGGCCCAATAATGAGCCATGTTGGTAAACCAATAATTGGGATTTGAAAAACGGGACAAAATGTCTGCTGGCGACAGTAGTCGTTACTCGAAAATAGGAACCAAGAAATATTAACAATAGAAATCAAAATTGTTTTATTTTTTTTTAGCGCGAATAAGCGAAACAAATATCCTTTGAGATCTCGCCTCGCACCGGTAGGTAATGGGAAAATGCTGCGAGATTCAAATATTTGGGATTAAGTTCATCACAGGACAGTGCTGTAGTTAGAAAGAAGTGTTTATATTTTTTTTTTACTCGCTTGATTGTGAGTGGGTGTGAGTGGATGTCGTGGGTCTGGGATGGGTGTGGTGTAAGTGGTGTGTGTGTAGTGTGGTGTGCGGTGGAGTGGTGGGTATGAGGTGTGTGGTGGATGTGGGGTGTGTGGTGGATGAGAGGTGTGTGGTGGATGGGGGTTGTGTGGTGGATGCGAGTGTGTGGTAGATGTGGGGTATGTGGTGGATGAGAGGTGTGTGGTGGATGAGAGGTGTGTGGTGGATGAGAGGTGTGTGGTGGATGCGGGGTGTGTGGTGGATGTTGGGTGTGTGGTGGATGCGGGGTGTGTGGTGGATGCGGGGTGTGTGGTGGCTGTGGGGTGTGTGGTGGATGTGGGGTGTGTGGTGGATGAGAGGTGTGTGGTGGATGGGGGTTGTGTGGTGGATGCGAGTGTGTGGTAGATGTGGGGTATGTGGTGGATGAGAGGTGTGTGGTGGATGAGAGGTGTGTGGTGGATGAGAGGTGTGTGGTGGATGCGGG